TTCTTTCTTTCTTTCTTTCTTTCTTTCTTTCTTTCTTTCTTTCTTTCTTTCTTTCTTTTCTCTTTCTAAAAACTATAAAAATAGAATTACAATCCAAGTGAAGATGCAGTTAACAGGTGGGGAGGGAGGGAGCAGAATGGGGGGGGGGGGAAAGTGGGGGTTTCTTTTAGATCTTAAATTTTCAGGTAAAACTGATTCAATCATGCAGTATGTGAGACTGAAGAAGCCACTGCTTCAGGGTGAAGACACACTTAGAGTGAATGGATTCACATATGGAGTGGATGTTTTTGGCTTTTTTAACCAGAATTTGTTGAGGAACTGGTGATACTATAGGATTTGCACAATACAATGGTTTGTTCACACACCATGCTAGTGCCAAACCAAACAAACCGTTGCATGGTGCAAGATCAGTATGTGGCAATGGAATATGGGAAAGCTCACCCTCCTCAAACCTTCTATCCTCCAAGACTTACCCAATTTAAAATCTTCACTTTTGTAGTTTGACAAATTTGTTGTATCCAATGGAACCTCCCTGAGAGTCAATTCTTTCCTGGAAATACAAATACAAAGTTATAATTGTATTGTTTTGATTGTTGCAGTATTACTATCAGCATAGCATATCAGCAACCAGTTTTTCTCATGTATGTTTCCAATGACTGCTTCTATCAATTTATAGATACAAAGAACACAGGAGTGTGGACATTCTATACCGTTAATAGCAAAAGATATCTGAGTAGCACCCCAGAATTGGATGGCTACTAGAAGGCAGAAGATGATCAGATTTAATTATAGCTATTTTGAGAAAAGTTCTCTGGGATCACATTATATCTTTGAGCACAAGGAATATGTGTCTACTTACTCATCATATTTTTTCACATTGTATTGAAAACCTAAAAATAGAGTAAAGAACAGATATTAACACATATCCAGGAAGATCCTTGCCAGCACAGATAAATAAGAACAGCACAGTAAAGTCACACATTGGATTTTTTTTTAATGGAAATAAACATGTGAGAGTTGAGACGATAAAAGGATGAAACTTCATTGAAGGATATACATTCATGTTCAAATTAGGCCCCAGTGAAATGGGTATTTGATTTTTTTTTCCCTTTGGCCACTGCTTGTGGCAACAGAAGATGCTTGTTTTGCCTCATTTTTTGGCAATTGTCTCTTGGCAGCTGCCATTTTATCAGCATTGTCAGACATTGTAGTCTTTGGGGAGAAAGGGGTACCCTCCTCAATGACAAACAAGGTTTTTTTTAATCAACCAGTGCTGAACAATTTTGCTTTTGAGGATTCTGGGAAAATAAAATGTTAACATAAGGATAGTCACCAAGAGTCTTTAAAAAACGAGAGAAAAATTCACCCCGCTCCACTTCCAAATGAGAACTGATCAAAATATATTCCTAAAAGTAAACCCATTTGCATCTGTCCGTGGAGATTCTCAGTCATCCAGGTCATGGCTGTCCCAAAAATGCTTTTTCAGAAAACAACTGGACTTTTTTATTTTATTTTTCCTTGAAGACATTTCACTTCTCATCTAAGAAGCCTCTTCAGTTTTGAAGAAATGAGAAATGTCTTTAAAAACAAAGGCCAGTTGCCTTTGGAAAAAGCACCGTTTGAATGGACACTGGCAACTGTTTCTTTCATGTTTGATTTAAAATGCATGCAAATTGGACGGAGCAAACTCCACTTGATTCTTAAGTATCTTAATTACATGGGTGACCCAAGGGGTTCCTGTCTAGAATTCCTTCAAATCCAGCTTTTCTATGTAACCTCTGGATAAATTCACAAGCTTTCATTTTAGCCCTAGCAGTGGGAAATGGCATCCCACAGCTTAAAAGTAAAGGAGAAATTATGTAATAACTATAGTTCTGTCTTCCCAGGAGCAAATGGGGTCCTATAAAAATGAGGAGGAAGTCATCCCTTGGAGTAGGGAAGGAGTAACAGATGCCTGAGCTCACCTCTCCTGCGGTGCTGGCGAGTCACGAGCATTGCAAGGATCAAGAGCAGGATGAAGAGCAATAGAGTAGCCAGAACGTAACCCAGCTGGTGGAAGAAATGAGCCCGGCTCTCGGGAATGATGACATTGATCACATTGTGGTTCCGGCCTGAGTTAGGATCTAGAGATGATAGAAGATTATTATTATTATTTTTTTAAATCAGCGGGTTGATTCACAGCTTATAAAATAATTAGGAAAATTCACCTGGAGTCAGTCCTACTACCCAACCAGGTCCCGTGAAGAGAACATGCGAGCAACACCTTATTCACATGTGGTATTCAGAGATACCCCACTTCTGAACATGGAGCTTGTATTTCGATATCATGACTAATGAACCTGGATTGACAGATTCTCTTTCTCCGTTAGTATATCAGCCCTCTAGGAGCAGGATGTAGATAGCAGGGATTTCTTGTGACATTGAGTGCCAGCTATCCATTCCACAGTGTGCCATTCTAAAGCACTCTCTTCGTGTGTGTGTGTGTTTGTGTGTGTGTGAACTGTTCCTATCACAGGAAGGATCCCCAGGTTTGGTCGGTAGGAAAGGAGGGGTTCTATCCTGCAGCTACCCCCAATAACATTTAGACATTCCCACCAAGATGTTTAAGCAAAAGCTTTTTCCACGTGGCTTGCTTTTAGCAGACGAAGCCCCAATGCCTGGCCTCCCTGCCTAGCAATCTTTCCTACCAAGGTGCGGCTGCCTTGGTTGATGGCTACCAGCGAAGATCTCCAAGAAGCAGACAGTTGCCCCTTCCGCTCTTTCAGCCATTTTAAGGGGAAACTCCTTCTGAGTCACTCCAAACCTTCGGAGGCCCTTCAGTCCAATTCTCCCTACTGTCACGAATGAAGGCAAATATACGCGTCCCAGAACAATGCTGCAGTAGCAAGAGCCAATCTGGGTCAGTCACTGGGACCAGAAATTTTGTCTTCCAAGCTTTTGGACTCCTGCTGGAGCTCAGAGGGAGGCTAAATTAGAGAGAAGTTCCCAGGAGTCCAAAAGCTTCTAAGAGAAAACCTCTGGTCCAAATGACCGACCAAGATTGGCTCTTGCTACTGTCTCTGATTGAAGATTACTTTATGTTGTCGAGCTGTCTAGTTCAACGGAGTCACAGAAGAATGTAGATACCAAAAGAATGAGTTTCAATAAAACAAAATCAAACCACAGATGTGTGCACACAGGCAAAAGAAAAATAAATATTCAGGTTTCAAGCCAGGAATCCATTCCAGTGCAGGGTGTAGCTGTAGCAGTTCTTTGGGTTGAACCAGAGAAGGTCAAGCAAGAGCAAGTTGCCAGTGTGAAATGCAGTTCATGAAGCGGTGTGTGTGTGTGTGTGTGTGTGTGTGTGTGTGTGTAGAGAAATTTGGAGAAATACTTGTGTGAAAGAGTCAAAGGGTTATATAAATGCAGAGGACTCGGAGCAGCATTTTAGTTTTAGGCAGCATTTCATAGGTAAAAAGGGAAGTTTGCATAAATCGACACGGAGGAAAGATCCCAAAAGATCTCAAAGAAACTCATTTTTGAGTAATTTTGGCGAAACCTCAAGAGATGAAACACAACATAGCCAAACACTGGAAGAAAACTGATTGCGAAAGTCTCTAAGGAAAAGAGAACTTTCGCATGCAGCGATCTTTTTGTCCTTGAAAACCATTGGCACGTTTTTCTCAAGGCCACAATGCCGTGTACATACAGCCTGGGAAGGAATGTTCAGCACTGGACATCAAGAAGGCAGAGAAATGTTAAGCTTCAGACAAACCATCTGGAGAAGCAGAGGCTGAAATTAAACATGAAACATATAAGATTTTCCCCAAGGGGAAACCCTAGTTCAATTATCAGCACATTGACAACGCTATAGGAGAAATGTGGTCATATCTTATGGTAGAAACTTGTGCAGGGAATTGTTACCTCTGATTTTTTTTATTTTATTTATTTTGTGAAGCGATTATAAGATAACGGGTATAAGTGTAAGCATGGTTATGAATACATGAAATGGATACATATAAGAAAAAAGAAACAATAGGATAGGGATGGTAGGCACGTTGGTGCGCTTATTCATGCCGCCTATGAATGACATTCAGAAAAAAAACTGCAAGAGAAAACAAGATTACTATTATCTGTTGCCAGGAACGATACTAAAGAAGATACTATATCAACAGAGGTCCTTGAAGAAAGCAATTCATAAAACTATGAGGGTTTGTAATAAAACCTCCACGTACGAAGCAAATCTACCTCTGACAGGCCATGGCTGAGCAGCCACATTAGAGGAGAAGCAAATAATACAATCCAAGGATCCAACTGCCACATACACGTATTGAAAGGCAGCATAGCAGTGATAATACCATCCCTCAATCCACACCAAAATTCTGGCTGAAAAAGAATAGGAATCTGGGTGAACTTAAAATCAGATCCTCCAAGAGTTAACAGCAGCTCTCGATGGAAGGCGGAGTAAAAATAAATAGGCCAGGATGATCTTCTAAGCAGAATAAAATTTCCTGTTAGGAAAGGGCTCCAAACCTTGGAACTATGCCTGACATTAAAAGATCCAAGGAGAGGCTTCCAACTCCTCTCTTTGAAACAAAAAGTATACTCCTAGAGTTCGATCTCCGAGAGTTGAGGAACCAACTGAACTTCTCCTGCTGTTCAACAAAGATCCTTGCAAATATAAGGGCCGGGGAGAGGGAGAGGAGTGCGGAGGAGTGGACTCAGTGAGTTTTCTTTGAACGGACTTTCCAACGGAAGTCTGAGTTAGCTAAAAAGAAAAAAAAAGATGTTTTGCACAAGATGGAAAGAAGTTCTTGGGGATCTGGGACCAATTTCCTGCTTGCAGCTGCAAGAAAACAGAGGAGCAGAGCAACTCAGAAACTGGGTCCAACAATTCCTCTCCTTTTTTCTCATTTGCAAACGACAATTGGACTGTCAGAACTTGTGACTTGTCCCCTTAAAACCAAGGCCAAGGTCCAGGGTCATCTGCCTTGCCTTGAAATTCTAAATTATGATGCCCCAGGAGCCACCGTCGGCTTATAATTGACATAGGAAAAGGAAATGCCTTCAGAGTGATCCTAGGAGTTATATTTACAAGGTAAAGGAAATGAAGGAAATTGCTGGGTTTGCTTTGCCAAGTTCGTTACTTTTCTGATTGGATCGTGGATCTAGAGGCCAGAAAGAGAGGTGCAGCCCGCTCTGTAAGACCGCTGCTGCCATGATAGCTTTCTCCCACCTAGGGCCTGTCCCATTGTCCCTGTCCAGCATGCTGTGAAGAGAGTTACCCTGAGCCGTTTGGAAGGAGCTGGGTTGGAAAAAAATCTGCCATATGGTCCCTGAGATTTTCTCAGCATCCCCTTCACGGTGAAATTCTCTGAAGCCCTGGAAGAGCTAAACCTAACCGTACTGGGCCATTTAAAAAATTCATTGCAGTGCTGCTAGGGGTGTTATTAAGCAGGGAATAAATATTAAACAAGCAATAAATATTTTAGACTGTTAATAAACAAAGAACTGTGCCTGACAGGTTTGTTCTTTTTATTTGTCAGGCAATTTATTTATTAACATTTCAGGATTCCCCCCACCCCACCCCCATCTATCTGTTGATTAAAAAAAAAATCTTAGAAAGATGGAAGAGCAGACTCCCTGGTTCGGAGACAGGAAATGTGCAATGCAATAAAACTGGCTACTACGCCAATTAAAACTCTGCCCTAAAACATATTTTTATTCCCCAAAGCGCTTGGAATGAGCAAGTCCAAATAAATAAATAAATATATATATATATATATATATATATTTTCTTTACAGAAGCCTGATGATGGCAGATGAGATTCTGCCGAAACATTGCTACAACTTTAAAAGCACAACTACAATGATGTGGGAAAATACCTGAACAAAGCTGAATGCCATACATATATATTTATATACATATATATTTACATCAGTCCTTGAAATGTAACATGTGGACAGCTTCTGGAATTTAGAAGTGCTTCTTAGACGAGAGAGCCCGTCCTTTTTTTTTAGACCTCAATTATCAATTGCTTTATGTTAATTGCTTAAGTGGGTTAATTGCTTAAGTGGGTTAATTGCTTACCTGGTGCTGGGGGATTGGGGTGCGTGAGATTCAGCACCACTTTTTTCTCTGGTTCTGGCTCCACCACCGAGACCAGGAAGATCCTCCGTTCGTGGAGGCCGCAGTAGTGGTGGTGCAGGTGACAGGAGTAGATCCCTTCATCCGCGGCCTCCAGAGACGAGATTCTCAGTGAGAAGTCGCCCAGGGCAAAGGCCTTGTCGGTGATGTTCATCTTTTGCTGGAGGAAGAGAGGCCCGTACAGGCGGCCTTCGCCAGAGGCATACAGGTCAATGAGCCGATCGGCCCGGTCGTGAGGGACTCCTGGGGGCTGCCTGTCCCAGTGGACGACTTGTTGATCCTCCTCCTCATCTCGCCCAGTCCAAACCTGGTTCTGGTTGGTGCAAGGAAGTATCACCGCACTCCCTTTCAGGGCAACAATCACCACTTTCTCTCCGTCCCAGTATCTCTGGACTTCCCCGGCTGCAGAAATTGCACACAAGGGAAAAGAATAAATTTGCTTCCAGGGAGGCTGGTCGTGTGCTAGGGAAGTGTGAAATCAAGGCAGTTCAAGCGAATATAAAGATTTATTGCAAACTCTCTACAAGAATCTGAGTGCAAATTGGCAGCAGATAAGACTCGAAGGATCTCAAGGTGGGCTGGACCTAGATCCCTTGTGAGCATGAATACAAGGTTCTTTCCAACTCTGTTAATCTGCTAATGGAGGGACTCCCGATTGATATAACTGATCCCTCCCTTGGGCTCAGCCTGGTCATCTCCTACAATGCAATTTCATACAGTTCCCTCCAAAGGGCAATTGTCATGCCTCTGTCGGAATCTGATTCGGAGGGGGAAGCTGAGCAGCTGACAGGAAGTGGGAGTGTGGCTCCACTGGCTGTGGAAGAAACTGGGGAAGGGCAAAGTCCAGCTGGGCAGAGCAGGGGAGACGTAGAGCAAGGCAGAGGGAATTTGGAGAAAGATCCAGCCCGCCCCCCCCTTCATCCTAGGACATGCAGGGAGGAATGGAGAAGGGAGCAACATGGGTTGTGCGGCTTACGGGGGAGGAAAGGGCCCTGATTCCCTTCATTAGCTGCAGCTGGGAACACAGTATTTTAAAAGAGAAGTTGTGCACAGCAAACTGTTGAGATCAAATTGTGAATTATCTGGTATTGTTGAAGCTTATCTGGGTTCCTGGCATCTTCCCAACTGTGGGTGTTTTGCTGGCCTTTCAACTCTGCAATTCCTTCTCCTGCCCTGTCAAGTTAATTACTGCAGCTTGGTTTATGTGGTTTTTTAATTACAGTTTGTATGTATTTTGTTTTCGGACTGAATTTCCTTCACTTAAAGACTGTTCCTGGGAGAGTTTTTTTTTCTCCAGCTGAAGGTAACCTGGACATTGGGGGCAAAGTTGGAGGTACTAAAGGGAATCTTCTTATTCCTTTGTGCCACGACCCGGGTCATCACAGCAATTCTCATAGAGCATTAGAACCCTTCATACCCACGGTTTTCTACAATAATAAGCGGCCCAGTGCCACTCGGTAGAGAAACAGGTGGCATACAATTTTAATAAATAAATAATCAGATGTCAAGGAGAATGCAAAAGCAAGTACAAAGGCGGGATGGATTTTCTTAGTCTTTACAAAATCTAGATGCATCACGGTTTCCCAATTCTCTCCACCGATTCTTTGTGTGGAAGATGTGGGAGTCAAGATACTGTACATTCTGAAGCTGGCTTTAGACATTAGCCACCCAAGCCAAATTGTCCATTAAGTGGTATCTTGGTCTACATCTCTGCTATGTTAGGACAAAACCCAGATGGCGATTATCTGCCTTGTTTTTTTCCCGCTTTGCACCGAAGAACAGAGGGACTGTACAAATAGTGTGTTGTAACTTTGACATAAGAATGAATTGCTGCAAAATATCTAATAAACATCTAATAAATAAAAATCTGACTCATTCAGTGTGTCAAATGCAAAAAGGAAAATCGGGTTCCAATCCCATGTAGCTGATGGGTCTCTTAACTCTCAGCTGAACTTGCTTCGCAGGCTTGTTGTTTAAATAAAATGCACTTTTTAGGAAGTATTCTATCTTTCTAATGAGATGTATCCCATTCCAATATAAGGTACTATAAACTGTCAAAAAATGTTCCAGCCTTTCCAAAACAGGGAAATTGCAAATTTTCTTTGCTTCCTTGTATTGAAGCTCTTGGAAAGTTCTTTTAAAAATGTCCTGCAAATTTTTGTGGAGTGGGTAGGTGGGGATAACTTTTTTTTCCCCCCCAAAAAAACACCCCACACCCTCCCCTCAACAAATGACATTGCTTGGTAGGAATCTTAGAGAGAAAATTTCATGAAGGACACAAAATGTAAGAATTTTCCTGGATCAAGTCAGGTATTGGCCCTCAATCCTACATCTCCACCAAGATGCATTATGCTGAGAGTTGACACACACAAGGTAGGGAAAAAAGTGAAAGAAAACTAATCCAACAAATCTCCTTAAGACAATAATAACAGGGTGAGCTCAGGCACTGATATATTTCTATTTTCTCAATCAGAGCAAGACTGCTTGTCCTCAGAGACTGAAAGGAAAGGTTTTCTTCCCCCCAAAATTGCAAATCCCCTTTTCTTCACTAACAAAAAAGCGCATCTTAGTTCTCCAGGCCTTTTTCTCTGCAGCCTTGTGACGGGAAATGCTTGGTTGGCCACAAACATCTCAATTACAACTCCCTAGACTTCTCATTTGCTCCGTGGTGAACAACAGAAAGGCCCCTTCCAAAATTGCTCCAAACAAGGCTACGTGATTTAATGACTGAGAAACACCGAAAGAGAGCAAAAATAACGTTGCAGGAACAAGCCACGTGCGCATGCCTTCCTCCTCCTGTTGATTCCCATTCGCACATTCCTCCTATTCGCTCCCGCTCAGGAGGTTTCCCCCCCCCAACTCCCCCAATGGCTTACCCTCTTCAGTGACCTCAAGCTGCAGCTGCACTGTTTCATACAGATGGCAGTAATGGTGGTGGAGGTTACAGGAATAAATTCCTTGGTCGCTCTCAGCAACGTCTTCATTAGAGGAATAAAGAGAAGGAGATCATTTAGACCGCTAGATATTAGAAGGACCGGAAGAAGGTAAATGACCACATGGATCACTGCTAGAAGTCCAATCTATAACAGTGCAGGTAAGTATTCAAAACATCTGATTTTAAACACCTGTAAGGGAGGGAAAACTTGCCACCTCTCCAGAAAGTCTCTTCTACAGTGAAATGTTAGGAAAATACCTCCTCCTGGTTACAAACCCCCTTTTCTGCCATTTTAGAGAACGTGCAACTTGAAGGGAGAGAACTATCTGTAACGCAAAACAAAGAAACAAACTAAAAGGGAAAAGCTAAATGTTGATGTTTCGGGTTATGAGGCTAGTGAGTTGGGCAGCGATCTTGGCAGAACTTGAAAGAAAGATAAGCAAGGTGGGAGCTAATTGGTCCTTAGATAGGGCGCCACCAAGAGATCACAGCTGTAGGCAAACTTGGGAAGGAAAAGAGAAACATTGTGGCACTACTGTGGCTAAGGAAATTAGCTTGCCATAGTCAATAAGAGTCAAACTCAACCTGAGAAACTTTTTAACTTTTAAACCCACAACTAAACTCAGTATTAATAAACTCGGTGTTTATAAGGAACCCATTGGTATGTACTGTACCAGAGAGAGGGACAATATTTTCCTTTGGTGGCAATGAGGTTCTTCAGTGGGCACATTTGGGAGAAGGAACCCCGAAGGAGGAAGTGAAACTATTTGGCATCTGAGGACAGCTCACCCTGCTGCATTTTTTATTTTTCATTAATCTATCTTCTACAAATTCCTAGGGATTTTGTGGTTACGATAACCAGTCCTTTGGCAAGCCCTTGTGGGAACGACTTTTTGGTTTTTTTGTTTTAAAGCGGGAGGAGAAATAAGTTCAGTTGATGAATAAATCCACACTTCTCTTTCAGGAAAAAAAAAAAAAGGCAGATCAATGGATGCATGCAGGGCAGCAGCTACCTTGGACCATCAGTGAAAAGTTGCCTTCCGTAAATGCGTTTTCAGGCATGGAGATCCGCCCCTGGTTGTACGTGTGGTAGACACGCCGATCCCCGGCGGAGTACATGTCGCACAGCCTCTCCGCCGCCTGCTGGCTTCGGTAGAGATCCCAATGAACCACCCGCTGGCGATCGTTCAGATTGTCCTGAGTCCAGACCATGCGGTAGCTCTTGCAAGTGAGAACCGTCCGGGAACCTTCCTTGGCGGTGATGTTTACTACAGACACCACCATGCTTTCCAGATTAGATGCATCTGCTGGGACTGCAAGAGGAGGGAAGGGAAAGGAGATGTAGAATAAGGGAGGTCTTCAACTGAGAATGGGTAGCATCCATCTACATATTGATCTGAAAGCCTAACGGAAGTCAGGGAGGAGATGGCCTCTCTGTTCCCTCTAGCCCAGGAGTCTGCAACCTGCGGCTCTGGAGCCATATGAGGCTCTTTCGGCTCTCTGCTGCGTCTCCCTGTCGGCTGATCCCATCACTGGCTGGCTTCGCCCTTCCCCTCCCCATCACTCCTCCCCTGGCCTGAAAAGGTAAGGGGGATGGCAAGAGATGGAGACTCGCTCCATATTCCAGAGCAGGAGGTGACTGGGTGGGAGTGAGTGACCTCGAGTTGGCCACCCACCACCCAGTCACACCAGTTGTTAAATTACTGGCTCCCGGTGTTTTCTTTTCTGTGGGAAATGGGTCCAAATGGTTCTTTGAGTGTTTAAGGTTGCAAATCCCTGCTCTAGCCAAAGGAGGCAAGTGTAGGGCAACAGGCCAAGAAGTTAATGCAAAGACTTCATTGACCCATGGCATAAGGCACACAAGGGACCTGGGCTCAGTTCCTGATACCTGCAACTAAAAGGGGCTTATGGGAAAAGCCCTTCTTGGCCAAAGGTTACAGGCAACCTGGACATTTCAGAAAGAATCACGTCTATGTGGGGTTTTTTTTTAATATTATCCTGAGAAACCCTTGGTAACTTCCAGAAAGCAGCTATCTCTTTAAATAAATCCACTACAGTATACAATAATCCAACTGGTATACAAGAGGGTTGTTGTATGGAATTCATGCCTTATTTCCAAAATGCAGGAGTGTAAAGCTAGAGTCTTATTCTCACTTACCAGAATATGGATGAACGGCAGCTTCTAAAATGGGAGGGAAAAAAGAGTTTTTAGTGTCCGAGGCCAATTTAAAGTAACAGTATCAACCACCAGTTGATCCGGGTGCCACGTCCTATACAGAATAGCAGGTATATTTCAGAGAAAGCCAAGGAATGAAGTTCTTTAGATGTAGGTCTGGGGCTATCAGTCAGGCCTAAAGAACTAGATCTCCTACTGTAACATTTGGTTGTAGATCTTTCATCTCAGGAGACCATTCAAAGAGGGCCCAATTCGCTGGGCATTATTGCACAAAGACAAATTGGTTTTCTTACAGTTGCCGCAGTTTTTCAACCTAGTGCACCTCCCCTAACCCCGGTGGCTGTTCCAAAGCAAAAAAAAAACTGCTGGTGACCTTCTACCGCTGCACCATAGAGAGCATTTTAACTTACTGCACCTCTGTATGGTTTGTCAATTGCACAGTGGCAGATAGGAAAGCACTCCAGAGGGTTAATATCATTGCCCAGAGGATCTTGGGTTGTCCTCTCCCCTCTTTGGAAGAGCTTTATAGCTCCCTCTGCCTTAAGAAAGTTCAAAACATTCTCAAAGATCCATCTCATCCTGGGAACCCTTTTTTTGAACTATTACCATCTGGCAGACGGTACAGTATAATAAAAACGAGGATAAATAGGGCTGAAAAACAGCTTCTATCCCAGGGCAGGAGCTCTTTTGAATTCTGCTGTATAGTGCAGAGTTGGTGCGGTGTCGGAGGTTTCCGGTTCAATGTGTGGAGTGTGAAGGATGTGTGTTTGTGTTTATTTTCATGGTCATGGTCATGATGTGCACTGAAGATGGTGTTTGATTTCCTTGTATGAGGTGCAATGACAATAAAGTAAACTAAACTAAAAAGGCCCGTCAGAGGCTAGATGAAGCTCTTCCCCCATTTCTCATAATTGATGGTCTCTGAAGAGGATTTGATGTTTTAATGTTTTTGTATGTGTATGTTTGTGTTTAAAAAATTTAAAAAAACTTTATTTAAAAGAAAAAAAAGTTCCCCTCTTCCATGAATGTTCCGCAGAGGCCAAATTGCACCCTTGGCATTGCTGTGTTGGTGCCAGGCAGCAACAGCACAGAATCTAATTCCCTTCTTGTCTTGCTACTCTTACTCATTAACTAAGTTGTAGTCTTGACAAGAACTAAGGGGTGGGGGCAATGGACTCAGCACTGAAGAGGTTCAAACTAAAGCTAGACTCTGTGGTTTCTATCTGTGCTTTCTGTAACACCTTAAGTAAACCTTAACCATCAGTCTAGTTGCTATTAAAAAAAAAAAAACACCTCTGAACCCTGCAGATCCTTGAAGTCTCCATCCCAAAGACTGGAAGCAAAAGGACAATTAGGAAACTTTTTTTCCTTATTCTTTAAGAGAAGCCTGAATTCCAGCGTCGAAGGATGAATTTCATGCTCTCCTTGACTACATAACCCCAGTGATTTCTTAAGAGATTTGCTAAATGGGTGCTGTTACAAATATCAGGGAGGACATTCCCTGTCTAAGAGCTTTCACTCCTGTTTAGCAAGATTAATCTGATGGAACTTGATGACCCTGGGACACACCTTTTCGATGGCATCTCTATTTGTGGGGTTGGGGAGGAATTTTCACCCTTTGTGCATCCCAGCTTGATGTAAAGAATATACTTGCGTATTGCAATGATTCAACTGCAGACAAATTCATTTGGGGAAGAAAAAAAAATAGAGATTGGTGGTTCTTCCAAAGAAAGCAGGAAACACACCAGATGTGCCATTGCTCAGAACTGCACAGATCCCTTTAACCCTTTTTTTTCCCCATTTTTCTGCCAAATTTAGCTGCAGAGGGAACAGACAACTCCCCCCCCCCCCCCCAAGACCTGCTGGCATGGCTAACCTTAGTTGAAGATCTAAGCAAACAGTGTGTGTTTTTGGTCTATGACTGTAAATGTATTTTTTTTTTTAAATCCACTCAGGTGTTTATAAAACAAAGTGGGCAACCTTTTCCCCCCCCACAACTCCTGCCGGGAGGCATCAGGTTACCAACTTTCTACCTGCTTGCCTGCCGTTTTGTGGTTCTTAGAGCAATAGAACCCGGGTTTTATTGGCAGTCTACCTCAGAATTCCGTTTTGCTATGCAGGCCCAGCGTAGAAAAGGAAAGCCTTCTTTCATGCCCTACTTCGCCCTTATTGGAAACAGGATGCCGTGCAGCTAGACAATCTAGCCAAAAATATACAGCTGATGTGGCTAAGGCACAGCACTAAGGAAAAGGAAAGATTTGATTCCACAGATTCAAGGGAGCCCCTGCCTTAGTTTTTTGACCCACACCTGGAAGGCCACAGGAAACACCTGAACGTTACAGGTAGCCCTTGGCTTTGCAACGACAATTGAGGTTGAACATTTTCACTGCTAAGTGAGGCAGCTGTTAAGTGAGCCTTGCCCCACTTTTCAACCTTTGTTGCCATAGTTGTTAAGTGAATCACTGCGACTGTTAAGTTAGTAGCACGGTTGTAAAGTGAACCTGGTTTTCCTTCGTCGGAAGGTCGCAAAAGAGGGTAATGTGACTCCAAGACACTGCAAGCGTCATAAATAGGGCATTTGCCAAGCGGTTGAATTTTGATCACATGACCGTGGGGGTGCTGCAACGGTTATAAGGGTGAAAACCGGTCATAAGTCCTTTTTTTTCAGTGCAGTTGTGACTCGAAATAGTCACTAAACGAATGGTTGTATGTTGAGGACTACATGTACATTTATATGTATGGAGCTTTCTAAGGGCTTCCGGGTCAGACATTTTGACCTGTCAGGTCTGCATGAAGCAGGTAAAATCAGTTTTGCACCATTGATGTGATTCAGACAATTGATGCCATCCTGTGTGATTTAGAAAAACTATCTGATCCCGTTCAGACATTCAGACCGAACTGTCCAACTGGGCTGATCTGAATTTTTGAAGCAATTGGTCAAATCAATCTGGAGGAGGTCTCCGATAGAATTTGACAACCAGACTTGACTTTTCAGTTCAGCCCAAAAAGTAAATTTAATTTTGAGATGTGATCAAACCACTACTGAATGGAATCTCCTGTTTGAATAGTTGCATATTTCTCTTATTATAAAAAAATAAATAATATTTGGTGAAAGCAAAAGTGCTTAGGATGAGGGGGAAAGTACAACCATAACAACCACTTTTCTATTCTTTTAAAATATTTTTCTTTAAATAGGGTCACAAACCTCTTTTAAAACAAAACAAACACAATACTTTGTCTCAGAAAGAAGAAAATACAAATAATTTCCACGGCTGAATATAAAAGGTTTTTGTTGGTTTACGACAGATTCAAATCCTTAATCACAAGTCAAACTTTGATTTAAGTACTCCCTAGCAAATGTAAAAGTCTCTTTGAGAAATAAAAACAAAGACTGCAAAGTCTTTTGTTCTGGATCTGTGTTGCAGAAAAGGCAGAAGTTATGAGAAGGGTTTTTTTTAATGTCACCAAATTCTTTGTTTACTTAAGGAAGAATTCAGTACATCCAAAAATATACATCTGCTTGCATTGGCAGATTCCAATCTTCCCATATCTTGGCTTTAATGTTAATTGGTAACTATCTCAGCTGCTGTGTATATTTTGGATGTTTTTATAGTTTTGGAATTGTAAACTGCCCAGAATAATTGATTAAGATGGACAGCTAAAGGCATCGAATAAATAAATCTTTCTGAAGTAGCTCCTTCGCCATTTTTTTTTAAATGTAAGATTTTATCCGGGTTACAGTCAATATATTACATTTTAGTATTTAGTATTTATTTGATTTGTCAATCACTTACAACATACAGGTATAAGAATAAATATAGTTTTGAATACATGAGATAGATATTTATAAGAAAAATTAAAAAAACCAATAGAACAGGGATTATTAAATAGCAATCTAATCAATCAAAATTAGCTATCTCCAGTTACTTAACTAAATTCACTTTGACTACCACTGCTATTATTTAATATTTAAAGAGCCTTGTTTTTAAAAGTTATTTTAACACTTCCTCTCTCCCCTTTGTTATATGCTTCTTTTTTCACCAATACTTCACATTTATTTGGAAAAAACTTCTTTCCTCTGGCGAAGCATAGTTACTTGGTGGATAGCTCCATTTTGCAAACAGACAGCTGTAGCTAGAGGAATTACATTCACTGATAAAAAAGTAAGGTTCTAAGTTTTCCCAACGAGTCTCTCAGGATGGCAACGGGAAAAACTATGCTAATATAACATTAACTTTTCCTTACTGATTCTGTTCCTCTGCTCATGCTGGCTGAGAGACAGGCACCACATAAACTTTTGCTTATCATATGTGCTGTACCAGAAAGACAGCATCTAATAAAAGTATATGCTTCATGCTGCCATTAAAAAACAGATCTAATACATCAAAAGTGGCCAAAATAAACTCAAGCCAAGCTTGATTTTTTTAGCCAGATTGTGGCTAAGGGTCTTCTTTGCCAAAACCAACTGGCCAACCAATCAATAAAATTCTATCCAAGCAAAGATGTACTTTACTCTTCCTCTCAGCAGTGCAAAACTCACAAAACATATTTTCATTCCAATGGAGGAACCCATGAAAGCGCTATAGATGGGACACTCCTCAAAATAACAAAGATAACGCACCTCCCCCATATTTACATATATCATTCCCAAAGGAATGGTGCAATATCTAACATTTGCAGAAAAGAGGAAGAAAGAGGGCTGTGGACGGACACACAAAGAAAATTAATCCCTGTTTTTCAAACTTACCCTGGAGAACCAACAAGAGAGCTAAAAGGAATTTGCTAGCTTGCTCCATGTCTCTCTTTCTTCTTTTCTTCAAATCTTCCCCTTGCTGCTTGCTTGAAAACACTTATGATCTCATCCGTTTACAGCCCCAAAACATGGATATACAGCAAACCTCTTTCCATAGCACAGCCCTTTCCCTCCTGTCTCCTTCTTTCTTTCTCTGGCTTGCCAGCCCTCCCACCTCTGTCCAATCCTATGGCTCAACTTCTACATAACTTACATACTCTCTGAACTTTCCGCAGCCTTACACAGCCAAAATGACTTTTGATGTAACAGTGATTTTTAAAAACCTAGTAACGTTTTGCTGGCTCCGCTCCTCACAGCTCCAAGTTTCAAAGACAGTTCCGCCCACCCTCCTCCTCTTTTGGATATATGGTATTAATTTTCTGGGCATTTACAGAATCCAGTTTTCTTCTTTTCCTGCTTAGGCTGACTTTCTGCCAGATGTTGCCTTGCGCCCTGTATCTTTTCATTATCCCCGTTTCCCTCCTTTTCTTAAAAGTTTATTGTTTTGATTTGTCCATCTCAATTCTAGATGGCTTTATGTCAGCTTCAAAACAGCTCAGAAAAAACATGGATGAAACAAGGTCAAATTAATATTACCAACACATCCTTATTAGACCACATTTCTATAGGAATAAAACATTTGGACTTAGTCTTTGTACCTTCCAGGGATAGGTGACTTCGTTAAGTATTCAGTGTGTCTTAGTTCCATCTATTTTCACTCATAAATTCATATTTTCAGATTTCTATGGCAGTTTGTAAATTAACACAAACAGAACTTCATTATAATCCAAAACAGATTTTCTTCTGCAGCTTTTGCCAACATGCAGGTTGTGATGCATGTCCTAATGAGTGCCATTTTTTGTAAACAAACTCTCTTGGATTTCAGCATTTTGTTGGCATCTTTCTCTATCATTCCCATGATTGGATCTGATAATCCAATAATGGATAAAGTACATCACAACATTTAAGAACTGAAGACATTAAGATAATGCAGTTCCAATTTATTTATACATCAGAAGCAGGAGGATCAATGCTTTATTATAGGTAGGGGCTGTATAGGAGAAATATTTTCCCCCAAACATATCCTTGGGACCTTTAAAAAAAAAAATACTTTGCTTTAGCTCTTTCCATTCACGTATTGAAGACAGCATGGACATAGCCACAAAGTTTGCAGGAGTTGACCTTGGACTCAAAGGAGATTTTCCACACCCCCATGCAGAATCCTTTATGCAGAAAGGATCAAGGTTTCTTGATAAGAGGAAATTCTTCACCAAAGAACTGTGATATGGTCTAACAATATTCTATTGGCACCTGTTTAGTATCCCAAACCTTCAGTTGGGCATCTAAAAGGAATCCAGCTAGCAGGGTTAACAAAGTTTTGCTGCTGGCGGGGTAGGTTTCTTGTGCAATAATGGCATCCCTTGAAATGTAGCCACAATTATAGGCCTGCCAGACATAATCTGCTATTACTCTCATGACTTCACCCATCCTAGAATCTATCGGGGACGTTGTCTTATAGAAGTCTTTCTGTGCTCTAATTGTTCTCTACTCCAGCCCCTGGTTTCCCCCAACCCTACAAATTGACACTCGGGGGCTCCATCCCTGTGGAAGGCTGCCCACCTGGACCTGAACAGAAGCAATAATGCAAATCTAAGGTCTCCTCAGAAAATTCTCACCGAATCAAAAGAAAACTCGGCTGACAGCTTCTGTGCTGCATTTCATGTGATTAACTGCTTGCTGCTATCCAAAGGTGAGAATTCTGTGCACAGTCAGAGGCATTCTGTCATGTAGAAAGCTTGAAATTGTTGCTGGGTGGCCACCTGTGGCTTTTCCATCTCTGTCAGAGGCTAAAACCTTATTATGTTGTTAAATTAAGCCTTGACTCTTGGTCAGAATCCAAATTTTGCATCTCCCTTTAGGGTGCCTTTCCAATACCCTTTTATTTATAACGTCTATCCACAGTTTGGACTCAAAGGAGACTTTATCTCCCAGCATGCCTGCTATGGACTCAATAACAGATTTGATAATGGTTGTTGTCTCCCAAAACTTCTAGGAATTGGACTTGGGCAATTTAATGTGTTAGGATTACCAGAGTTTCTTAGTTTGTATCCTAGTCAGGAAAGCAGACTTGAAATTAGCCAGAGAAGTTATGAGGCTTTAAGTAGCAGAGATCTCTTCCTATTTGTTGTCGTTGTTAGTTGCGAAATTGTGTCCGACCCATCGCGACCCCATGGACAACATTCCTCCAGGCCTTCCTGTCCTCTACCATCCTCCGGAGTCCATTTAAGCTCACGCCGATTGCTTCAGGGACTTCCTCCAGCCCCCGCCTTCTCTGCCGTCCCCTTCTTCTTCTTTTGCCCCCAATCGTTCCCAGCATGAGGCTCTTCTCCAGTGAGTCCTTCCTTCTCATGAGGTGGCCAAAGTCTTTGAGCTTCCTCTTCAGGATCCGGCCTCCTCAAGAGCAGTCAAGGTTGGTCTCCTCTAGGACTGACCGGTTGGATCGCCTTGCAGTCCGAGGGACTCGCAGGAGTCTCCTTCAGCATCAGAGTCCAAAGGCCTCCATTCTTTGGCGCTCAGCCTTTCTTATGGTCCAACTTTCACAGCCATACATTGCAACTGGGAAAACCATAACCTTGACTATACGCACTAGTTAATGATAGGCTTTATGAAGATTATGGCTTTCAATGTTCACATAAATTTCTCCCCTATATTCCGTATTACTTCCTATGGGATGGAGTAACACATTCAAAACTCAGCTTTTCACTTCTGGCAGGCATTAGTTTTAATTCCTGGAATTCATAAAAACAGCAATAATAGGAACCATTTACAAAAACATCAGCTTCACACAGGATTTTTTTTAAATGTTCCAAAACAATAATACAAAAGTATTACCCAAGGAAAGGAAAAGGAAATTTTTTTTAAAAAGTTGTTTCTCTTCTGTCCTTCTTTAACTACTTTCTGTTTTGCATCTTTTTAAAGACTACAAATCAATATAAAAAACACCCTTTGAAGGTGTATAGCAGCCTAACCTGGCAGGAATTCAACAGCAGACATTAACATACATGTGGATTCCTTCTATTTAAGGGAACTGGCTAAGTTTCACTGCTGAAGGAATTCCTTTGACCACAGGTAGAAAAGGACCACAATGGTTCTCACCATTCTTGCAGTCAGATTCTACATGAGATCAAGGAGTCATTTTGTATGCCAAAAGTCAGATTCAATTTCCTGGAAAGATTTTGCATGGAACCCTGGAGAGCAATTGCTAATCAGGGTAGAACAAGACAGATTGACTCAATAAAAGGTAATTTCTTATGTTTCCGATTCTTCTTTTTTGAGGAAAAACATCTCCTTTCTGAATAAATTAGACACAGAGAACCGGGAGGAAATAACAAAGCAATCAAATCAGCATCATTGAGGCCTCATCCCACCAGCTTTGCTTCCAAAATCTCCCTAACATTCAGAAAGTAAAATTCCAATGCTTGGTTACTCATCTATGTCCAGCAGTTTTGGAGATAATATTTCAAAAATAAGTCAATCAAGTATTTTTTTAAAGAAATATGCTGTTTACCAGAAATTTTGAAAATCCAAATTGCCACCAAGGCTTTGTTCATACACTTCCCCAGTTGAAGACAATAGTGGCACTTGATGTGCAGGACATACTAAACAGGATTAGTATTTTTGTGGTTAGGGAGTTACACAATCCAACCTTTTGGTTTACCTTATGAGTCAACCTGCTGCGTAAAGCCAGAAAATGAATTTAATTCAGTTGCCAAGATGCTTTGTGTGAGAACAACCCACGTGGTCCAGTTTTAGTCAAGCTGGGGGTTTCCAAATGTGCTGGGTATCAAGTCCCATAATTTATTTCATTTCATTTCATTTCATTTCAGTCCATTTCATCTATTTATTTATTTATTTTTGTCAATTGCTTACAAGATAACAAGTATAAGTAAAAAATGTTATGAATACATGGATACATATAAAAAATTTTTTAAAAAAGAAACAATAGGACAGGGACGGTAGGCACGTTGGTGCACTTATGCACGCCCCCTACAGACCTCTTAGGAAAGGGGTGAGGTCAATAGTAGACAGTCTGAAGTTGAAGTTTTTGGGGTTTGGGGAAGAAACCACAGAGTCAGGTAGAGCATTCCAGACATTGACCACTCTTGTTGCTGAAGTCGTATTTCCTGCAGTCAAGTTTGGTGCAGTTAACCTTGAGTTTGTATCTATTGTGTGCTCTTGTGTTGTTATGGTTGAAGCTGAAGTAGTCATTGACAGGTAGGACATTGCAATGTATGATTTTTTATATACCATACTTAGATCGGACCGAAGGCGGCGTAGTTCTAGTTTTCTAGGTCTAGAATTTCAAGTCTGGTGGCATAAGGTATTCTGCAACGAGTAGAGGAGTGGAGAACTCTTCTTGTGAAATATTTCTGCACTTTCTCAACTGTGTTAATATCAGATACGTAATGTGTGTTCCAGACTGATGAGCTGTATTTGAGTACTGGTCTAGCAAATGTTTTGTATGCTCTAGTTATTAGTGTAATATTACCAGAGAAAAAGCAATGTAAGATTAGGTTAACAACTCTTAACACCTTTTTGGCTATGCAGTTACAGTGGGCTCTAGCATTTAGGTCATTAGAGATGAGTACTCCAAGATCTTTGACAGAGCTTGGATCATCAACAAGGTCTTGACTATTCAGCCTGTATTTTATTTTCTGATTTTTGTTTTTGCCAATATGTAGGACATATTGTATTCCCAGCCACTTGCTGGAAATTATGAAAACTCTGGATCAGCAGATTTGGGGAAGCTTTGCCAATGCTTTAAACCACAGCCTCTCTACCTCCTCCATTCAGAAACCACACGGGGTATCTCTGTCCTTGGAAAGAGCATGTCTGTTCCCTTTTAAATTACTCTCCACCTTGCAACCCTGCCCATTATCACAGCCTACTGGAAAGCCAAAAAAAAATGAAGGAGGTCCCAAACCACCCACAAGATCAAAGAATTATTTTTCGGTGGCTGTGTTAGAAGTTACACCTCTCCTAAAAATATTGTTTTTAACAGTTGCCTAGGCTTTCCAAACCACTTTTATAAAAAAAAAAAAAAGATCAAAATAGATCTCTGGGCTGCAAAAAAGGCCACGCATGGTTCAGTTGGTAGAAGAATTCCAGTACCAATTGTAGAGCCCTTGAGATAGAATACAGCCAGGTTTTGTTTTTTTTTTCTGATCCCAAAACTGCTGATGAATTGAGGGGACCACCACCAGGATACCGTTTTAACCCTGAAATTAGCAAGTTTCGTCTTGAGAATAAATATCTCT